GTCCTCGAAAGCGAAACCCATCACCTGCACGACGGGGCTATACGGAGAAAGAAGAATGTCCGATATATGCCACCATGTGTAAATACTGTCCAAGTCTGCAATGTCTGGGTCGTCATCAGCAAGCCCCGCGAGGGCCGAGTTGACGGGCGTGCCCTTGAGGCGCATCACGATGAACCCATTGACCAGCATGTCTCTCCATCTGCTGCGCCTCGGCGCGAGCTCCTTGATCGACGCCAGCACGGAGTTGCGGAACCTCTGAACTTTGCGGCCAGCCTCGCAGCACACACAAAACCCATACTTATAGCATGTAGATTCGTCTGTGCCACTGCATGTAGGCTCGCGCCAATCCTCTTGAAACACTGGCCTGTGGCGAGCTGCCCAGTAGGAGTCCAGGGCGCCCCCCCAACCGCCCGACGCCGTGGGGGCAGTAGCAAGCATCCTCGCAACAGAAACCGCACAACGGTCAGCCTCGCAGAAGTAGTCGCAACAGCTGAGCTCCAACCCAGACGCATCCAAGACTGGCTTTGCCACGAGGTGCCCAGCCCAAGGGCCCAGCGACTGAATGTGCGAGACCACCTCTCGGCGCAGCTCGGCTGATTTAGTCCTGACGAACTCGCGGATCACCATGGCGCCTTGCTCCTCGCGAAACTCGCGCCGCTGGCGATCCACCCTGTTGACGGCGGACACCAGCGCCATCATGTGGTCAACCCGCTCGTCCGTATGGCTCTGCAGCACCACGGCGGCAGGCGCAGGGGCCGAAGACAAGGCAGTGAGATCTGTTAGAGGGTGTCGTCGGTTGAACGCGATGGCCTCATGGCGAAGCGCCTGGATGCGCTTCTCCTTCTGCGATGGCCCGAATGCGGGCTGACCTGCTCTGTGCAAGACTGTTGCGGCACGCCCGTCCATAATGTTTTGCTGCCGCTCTTCATCGGTCCGTTCTCGGTAGTTGAGCGCCATCGTGTGGAAGTCAGTGACGCCCTTGCGAAGCTGGCTGCTGACGTACGCCCTCCATTCGCCACCGCCACCCCGCCGCTGCTTCTTGGTAGCGTTGCTGGACGGGTCTTCGTCGGGGTCGTCTGGGCCCTGGTTGAAATCCTCGTAGTAATGGTCCGCTGCTTCGGCGTCCAGCCACTCGAGCAGCTCAGAGCTCCTAGTCTTTAGCCTGTGGGCGAAGGCCTGGGCATTCAAATCCTGCACATCTGGCCTGTTAGTTTGAGAACCCCTGCGAACGAGAAATCGCCTCACCCATGAATGCCAACACTCGATCTCCGCGGTGTCCGTGCAGCCCATCATCATGAGAAGCGTCAAGAACGCTTTAAGTTCTTGCGAACCCAAGTCGAACTTGCCCAGAACCTGCTTCGTGAAAGGGTCCAGCAAACATTCGGGCAGCCTCTTCACCTGCCCCGCGACCGCGGGGTAGTTCACAATGAGGAACAACAAGAAAGGAGGCCTCCTGTGCACGGAGGTCAATGTCCTGTGGTACTCCGCAGCAGCCTTGCTCGCCAACCTGAACCCCAGACACCTCCAGTACTCAGTGATGCAGTGATCGGGCATCGCCGTCCAGAAGAACCCCTCGGTTGTCATCAGTTGATGGTGGCAATCGGCGAAGTGCGCATCTAGCTCGCCCCTGGCTGATATGAGGATGCGGAAATCTCGCTTGCCGTGCGCTGCCCCGCCACTGGCAGCAGCTATATTCTGCTCCCTCTCCCAAGCGTCTGAAGCGATATACAGCTGCCGCCGCAATATCATCATAGTAGGTTCCATTACCAGCCTGATAATGATAAGGTCGCTGGTGGGCTCGCCATTCATCCAGCGCAAAGCCATCCTGCGGTTCTTAGCGTTGACAACGGCAAATGGGTCGGCGTCCTTTGGAGATGCTGCGGGCGGCGCCGCGCCATCGCCTCCTGGGATATCACCATCGCCCCCTTCAGGTCCAGCTTCGGCGGGCGCGGCAAGACCAGCTGCGGGGTCAAAGTCGTCGGCGATGGCCAGAGCGCCTGCCGCCTGCGAGGATCGGCTCGGGTGGTCGCGATGGCCGATCTCCAGGCTGCCGTTGTAGCCAGCTTGCCGCAGCCACCGCTTGTATACTCTAACCAAGAGCCCGTGGCAACATTGCAAAAGGCCGAGCTGGTTCACGGCCTTGTCGTTGTTGGTCCAGCGTTTTCGGTTGAAGATCATAAAAGTGTTCTGAGCGAGGCACAACATGAGACCTTTCGCGACGAGGCCTGCAACTTGTTCTTCGTTGTAGTCAACGCCCTCCCGCAGATACACCTCGACGCAGTCTGTGCGAGTCCAGTCGCCGTTGGGCAGGCACTGCAGGATGCACTGAAGCCTCCTCTGGCGCTTGGCCTCGTTCCCAGCGAATAAGCGCAGGCACATCTGGCGATGCCTGGCCGCCTCGGGCGGACACTGGCCTCGCTTGATGTCGATGGTGGACGTCACCTCGTTGAGTAGACACTGTCTGAATAACCTCATCCACCCGCCCAGCCGTAGACTTAAAGCCGTTCGGATGCAGCCTGATACGCACCAATCCGCCAACAACAAACCCTTCGCCTGGGAGCTCGTCGACTTGTGAACTTCACATCCGAGGTGTAAGCGAGTCCAGCCAGGCCGCTCAGCTTGAATCAAGCGCTCGGCTACAAACTGGGCTGCGTAGCGGTCGCTGCAAATCAGCCGAACACCGCACTTCGCCACATTGAACGGCATGCACCGAACGAAACTGGACAGCTTCAGGGCCTGCGCGATGATCTCTGCAGTTGTGCGTTGCAACACATTTGGCACGCCAACGCAATGGCTCCGAACGCAGATGAACTTCTTATGACCTGACCCTGGCTGACGAACTGCGAAAAGGACTCCATACGAATGCTCCGTCTGGAACAGTTTGGCTGGGACGGCCTCCTTGAAAACTGCAAGCTTTGCGATTCTATCCAAGGCTCGGTCGACGTGGTCCTGAAACTCTGGGACGCCGCTGTCCTGCCTCACCGTGAGCAAGTTAGTCGCCTCGTCGTACCGCACGCCCTCAACGATGGCCACCAGCTCCACGTCAGCTGATCCAGCTGGGCGGCCGAGGAAGCCCTGGGGTGCGCGCGGGCTGTCGGGACTGCATGCTCTCTCCACCCCAACCCTCACATGCCCCATGCCCGCTGCCCCCGCCCACCCCTCCCGCACCCGACCAGGGATATCGGCGGCGAAAGGCTGGCATGCGGCGGCAGGTCGGCACCGCCCCGACGATCCCACCCCAATGATTCCCACCCCCGCCCACCTGAAACGCCACTTGGCGATTCCACTCAACAAGTTCCCCTGATGATGCAATCCTCCGCCGCTGCAATGCAACCCACTTGCCATCTTTCCCGTAGCGGTCGCCATCGTCCTGGAAAGACCTGCCGACCGCACTCCTGTCCCCATGTGCCAAGAAGTCACGAGCAACCCTGAGCAAGGCCGCGTTCGCAAGCGGGGTCCCAGGTGACAAGAAAGGGAACTGCCTGACGGTAGAGTGCACGAGCGCCCCCATATCGCAAGTTGGAACGGGCAAGAGCGGCTCCCTCGGACACACCACGATCGCATGCGGGACCACGGGAAGTTTTGGAGGCGGCGCCTTGGGGGGCTTGCGGCGGCGAGCTGGAACGACAACAGCAGGCGCATCATCGACGGCGGCCTCGTCATCTGAGCTCGGGCCCGCGTCCGCATCCAGAACCTGCCTCAAAAGCGACGGCCGCCCCCGCTTCCTCTTGGGAGGCATGCGGGCCGCGCGAAAACACGTGAGGCCATCGCCGAAAACCCTCCTCAGAGCTCGAGCAAGACTGGCTCAAGAAACATTGCCAACGTTGTCAAATGTCTGCATCCGCAGTGCTTCGATTACCGAATGTGTGATCCCGAGGATGCGTCTGCGCCCGTCGCATCTGCCCCACCCCGCCGATCCCCCTCGGTGCGGCGCCACAATCGCCCATTCGAGCTGCGCCCAGCCATGGCGACGGGATATATTCAGGCGGAAAGAAAAACATAACATCACCCAGCAACCAATCGTAGATGCACGCAGAACTGTCAGAACATGACCCCATCCTTTCTCACCCCGCCAAGATACCCCGCCACCCTCCCCTCCGATGCCAGCCTTTGTAAATACATGCGCCATCCCTGCCAATACGTAGTGCTTTCCTCCTTCCCACCTCCTCCCTCTTACCTGATCCACCCCGCCTGTGCCGACCATCCCAATGAACGAGCCACAAGCGCGATACAGGCCACGAGGAAGGCGATTTCCTGTGGGGGCTTCACCTCAGAAAAACACCAACGAATAGAATGCACACTAGATCTTTCGTCGACCTAGAGGGAACACGTCGGATGCATACGAGATTATTCGTGAGAAAGCTGTCGCTGCAGACTACTTCGGCGAAACCACCGCGGAGTACATTGCACACTACTTACGGAGTAAAATATTCGATCTGTGAACGTGGCTCCTGTAGAGGGACGGGAAAGTATAAAGATAGGAGGAGGAGGAGGAGGAGGAGGAGGAGGAGGAGGAGGAGGAGGAGGAGGAGGAGGAGGAGGAGAAGATAGGAGGAGGAGATGGGGAGGAGGAGGAGGAGGAGGAGGAGGAGGAGGAGGAGGAGGAGGAGGAGGAGATAGGAGGAGGAGGAGGAGGAGGAGGAGGAGGGGAGGAGGAGGAGGAGGAGGAGGAGGAGGAGGAGGAGGAGGAGGAGGAGACGCGCGGCGCTGCGGGTTCAAAACGAGGACCCAACACACAGGAGGGTTGGGAAGAATTCAACAATACCACATAGCGAGAAAGCGCGACCAAAACCCTTGACCCCATACTATTGCGGCACTTCTCGAGCCGGATCGAGCGCCCAGTCTGAAAAAATTGCGACGCCCAGCTCTCAGAGCATGATTGTCTTGACGGCCCCGAGACCTGGCGAGGGCTCCCAGGGGCCGCGGAGGAGGAGGAGGAGATAGGAGGAGGAGATAGGAGGAGGAGATAGGAGGAGAAGGAGGAGGAGATAATTTGTCCTGGGCCCGATCTGGATTATCCTCGGTCTTTTGCTGCTTCCGCTTTGTACCTGTCGATGGCTCTCCCAAGATCAGCCAACTCATCGTTCATTTCAAACTCGATCTCGTGATCAGTCAAGAAGTGGCTGAGGTGTTCCAGCACGTGCTGGCGAAAAACAATCGGGTCGTCCGAGCCAAAACAACATAAACGACACTCAGCGACAGGGAGCTTGATGTTATTTCCACTTCTCCCCCTATCAGCTCGACACCGTTTATTATCAAGTGATATTGTCATGTGCTTTTGTGCTTCTGCAAGACTAGTAATCGTACTTCCACACATAGTGCATTGATTCGAAATACAGCAGGCACGCGCAAGCACCAGTGCACCATGCTCACCCCCTCGGGTATGTACGAAATGCGATGCGAGCTGGGCCTTCGTCGGGAAGGTCGCGGGGCACAAGCCGAGAGTCGAGTACGCAGGCTAGAGTACCAGTCGGCGGCGCAGTTGTTCCTGCCCAAAACGCACAAGATCGTGGAGACAGGAACCTCAGCTTACCAGCGCTATCTTCAGACAATGAAAGAAGAGGGCAAGGATCACAAACGAGGTTCTCCCGAGCTTCAGACCTTTTCCGCAGTTCTGCCAGATTTAGATCACTTTCTGAACGAGGGCTCTTGCCCGCCCGAGCTCAAGAAATTCATAGGTCTTGGACAGAGACTGAAGAGCATGATGGAGCACTGGTCGGAGATCGAGGCCTCGGAGTGGATTCGCGACTTCTCGTTCAGCCCCCACATTCGACAGCTCGACTCTTCGGCTCACGATATCGGTCAAGGGCGTCGTCCTCGTAGGAAAGAACGTGCAGCAGGCGGAGGAGTTGAGCAAACAGCAGCAGTAGGCATGGGGAGGGATACCGACCGACGAATCGTACGATTCGTTCCTCCAGAGAACCCCTCTTGAGTACCCAGTCGGCCAGTACAAGTTGATGGAGCTTCAGCATGTCTTGGGAATTATCTTGGGAGGCTGGGGTGCTAGCAAGAAGTTAGGTAGGGCCCCGCGCAGTGGCCTGGCTAAAGGGTTGGGCTCGAAGTAGCCCTGGCCGTTTCGGGCCTGTTGCCTGCGAGCCCTGGGACCAGTTTGTTTGTGCCGCGATGTTGCCCTAACCTCGTAGTGTGGTTGCGTTTCAGGGCTAGTAGGTTTTTTGTGTGGGCGACTCGTGCGGTAGCGTTTAAGGATTCTCAGTGGCTCTTGGAAGTTTCACCTACTCTGGGCTTTGGGAGGCCACCTGCCGTGTCTGGCGACCTCCCATGGAGCAGGGGGGTTGACACCTCCTGCAGGTAATGGGCGCACCGATCGCGTCTTGTCCGCTCGTGGGAGCGGCACACGCGACGATGCCCGTGTGAATGGTTTCAGGTGGCCAGGTGAAGGCTAGCCCCGAGTCCCAGGCTAGCGTGCCCGTGTCGGATTTGCGAGGACTCGATGGGGATGTGCAGTGCAGTGCAGGAGGAGGAGATAGGAGGAGGAGGAGGAGGAGGAGGAGGAGGAGGAGGAGGAGGAGGAGGGCTGAGTCTGAGGGTGGGCCCTGGGTTTTTTGCAATCCTTCGTTCAAGTGAGGCGGGGGGGCACGACTTGTTGCCCCTCCCGGCGGCAGAAGCAGCAGTCATCCAATACAGGGGTGTTGTTGAGAGATCGCCGCATGCATGCATGTGTTTATGTTTGCCGTATCGCATTGCACGCAGTATTGTGTCGATCATGCACTTGCTGTGTTCGCATGCCGCTGCCATTTTCATTCGAGTCCTGACGAGCCCCAGCAGGGGCGAAACGTTGACACGCGTACTGAAAAGGCACGGGCTTGAGAGCGCCATACGAGTAAGGAGGCGGAGGAGGAGGAGGAGGAGGAGATCATCCCGTCGTGATTTGTTTCACGGCGCGAGCGTGTCTGGGCCTGCCTCGACAGGCCCTGCTTCCGGATCCGCCGTGCTTTGGGCGATCTCGCGAGTGGGTCTACTTTTATGTCGGGCGTGTCCCCCTACAGGGGGATTTTCGACGAAAAAAAAAACAATACCCCCAAAAGGAAAAAAGTACTCAAAAAATAGTCTCCTGACCATCTTTGGACTATCTTTTGACTATTTTGGGGGTGTTTTATATTTCGTCGAAAATCCCCCTGTAGGGGGACAGGCCCGACTTAAGTCTACTTTTCAAGCTCCTGTGATCCCGATGCCCGCCCAACTATGCCGTCGTTTTTGTACCGCCATACCTTTCCGGAAATACCCGTCGTAACCGCATGAGGTGGACATTTCCGCCCTACCTTTTTCGCATGCTTTGGGGTGCATGTCCTACACAACTGTAAATCGGAAAGCAAACCACAGCACAGCGGACCTGGAATCAGGAAGTATTGAGCAGGGACCGACCGTCCTGGTACTCCTATAGGCTTACCACGGCATGTTCTTAGAACGAAAGGACGCTCGAATGACAAGAGCAACATTCTTAGAACATGAAGCCGATGTACTGAAACAGAACAGTCTCTCGGCCAGAAGCTCTCGGGGAACACTCCGTACATGGAAATTATATTCGAACCCTATGGCCCAAGATGCCCCCCAGACTCCCCGAAAGTAATATTGATGGCGTGGCGACGGGGGGGGGCGCGAGTGGACACAAATATTCGAACCCCAGAGCACCGCCTTCACTGAGATCAGCATTGATGTCTGGGGGGCGATTGGGTGATTCAGAATCTCCCTCGACTGTGTCAGGGCTCGAACACCTATTGTCCACCGAATTAATTACTGGCCCTTAGAAGACTCTTTGGTGGGCCCACACGCAGGCGAGGACGCCCCGCCACTGCCTCGGGGAACCAAACCCCACGGCGCCGGAGCTCCCGGCCCTGAGCTGTCGCCCGGCCCGCCCGGCGCGGGCCGCGGCCCGCCGCGGCCCGTCCGCGCCACCGCCAGCGCCGAGGTCATCTCCGCCTCGCCGCCGGGGGGCGACGTGCGCCGGAGGGCCATCGGGGCGCGGAAGGTGCCGCCGGGAGCGCCCGTGCACCGCCGGGCGCCCGGCGGGCGCCGTTGCAGGCACCCCCTGACTCCGGATCCGCCCTACTTCGGCTTTTTTCCCAACTTAAAATTGCGTCGGAAGTCCACCTATGAGAGGCCGAAAACGTAGGGCGGGAATTGCTGCACCCAACACAACATGGGGCGGAAATCTACAAAAACAGCAACAGAAAAGTAGGGCGGAAATTTGCATCAGCGGGGCTTGAAAAGTAAGGCGGAAATTCCAAGCCCCACTTACGAATTTCCCCAAAGTGGGGCGGATCCGGAGTCAGGGCCGCCCTGGAGATCCGGGCGCTGCAGCTTTTTTTCACGCCGGGGCGTCTTCGCCCCGTCTCGGGCCACGGGGGGGGCCATCGCAGCTCTCTGTGCGGCTCCAGGAGCGCCGCAGAGGGAAGGGCGGGGTGTGGGGCCCGTCGCGCTTTGTCGCGGCGCTGCACTCTCAATGGCAGCGTCGGATCTCGGGGGCGCCCCGCTGGGGCCATCCTGGGCCCCCCCGTGTGGAGGGCCGAGGGCCTCCCGCGTCGGAGCTCAGGCCTCCGTGACGGATGAAAGATGCCCATGTCTCCGATGACCTCTGAGGAGGAGGAGGAGGAGGAGGAGGAGGAGGAGGAGGATAACAAGAGAGAATGAGGAGGATGAGGAGGATGAGGGAGGGAGGGAGGGAGGGAGGGAGGGAGGGAGGGAGGGAGGGAGGGGTCTGCGGAGCGCTGAACCACCTCCTGGGGACCATCGGGGCCAGGAGGGGGTGGGCGCCTCGAGGGCCCCGTGGAAGTGCACGGGTGCCCCCTGCGGCAGGCGGGTGGCGGGCGTGCGGGGGGCAGAGCGGAGAGAGCCCGGCGTGGCGGGACGGCGCAGGGCCCCGTAAAAACGGGGACACTGATATGAACAAGGACATCATTGTCGCACCCTCGTTCGTCCTCCTCCTCCTCCTCCTCCTCCTCCTCCTCCTCCTCCTCCTCCTCTTCCTTATCGTCTTCTTCTTTTTCTTGTTCTTATTCTTCTTCTTCTGATTATTCATATCATTCTTCTTTTTATTCCCAACCCTCCTTGGTTGGGCATTCGTTATGAATGAGCACTGCGGTCGCGTGCTCCCGCCCCCCTTCCAGCCTCCTGCCTCCCGCCTCCTGCCTCCCGCCTCCTGCCTCCCGCCTCCGGCCCCCCCTCCTTCTTGTCTCCTCTTGCCTTGCCTGGGGGGCTGCGATCTGCGAAACTGTCGCCACTTTCGATGGCTGCTGGTGGGTCCAGCGGAGTGAGGCACCGCGCGGACCTGAGCGGGACCTCCCTGTCCCTGGGGGGCTGCGATCTGCGAAGCTGTCGCTACTTTCGAAGGCTGCTGATGGGTCCAGCGGAGTGAGGCACCGCGCGGACCTGACCTCAAGATTTTAAGGTGTTGCATTCGATTTGGTCACATGCAAGAATGAGCAGGCGTCGTAAAATACACATTTTCAACGCTTGCATTGTTTCTAAACTAATGTACGCGCTCTTTGCCGCATGCTTAAATAAAGCGGAGCGGCAGAGGATGGATGCTTTCCAGAACCGCTGCCTCCGGAGAATCTGCCGAATTCCTCATGCGTATTATAGTAGGGTTTCTCATGCGGCCGTTCTCAACATTGCTGGGGAAGATAAGCTCAGCACCCACCTCGCCAGAAGACAGATGGTTTTCATGGGGCAGCTGGCGAGGCGACCCGGCAGCGACCCAGTCCGACGCTCGGTGTTCGAACCGGGAACCTTGGACTTGCGTAAGCCTGCCGGAGCGAGGAGGCGAGGCAGGCCTCGCCAAACTTGGGGGCACCTTGTGTTGAAGAATGCACTACAAGTGGCGGGCTCCCATGCGCGACTCGCTGACTACTTCCGCCAAGACGGCGGTGCAGCTCGCGAGTGGGAGCGCGTAGTTAAGGTTTGGCCACACAGCTAAAGGCATGTTGGCTTCGTTTTGTTTTTCTCTCTGCTCACGCACCGACTGGTGCAAGGCTTACCTGTCTGTCTGTCTGGGGGGGGGGGGAGGCGATCTGCGACACTGTCGCCACTTTCGAAGGCTGCTGTTGGGTCCACTGGAGTGGGGCACCGCGCGGACCTGAGCGGGACCTCCCCGTCCCTGGGGGGCTGCGATCTGCGAAACTATCGCCACTTTCGAAGGCTGCTGGTGGGTCCAGCGGAGCGAAACACCGCGCGGACATGAGCGGGACATCCCCGTCCCTGGGGGGCTGCGACCTGCGAAACTGTCGCCGCTTTCGGTGGCTGCTGGTGGGTCCAGCGGAGTGGCGCACCGCGCGAGCCTGAGCGGGACCTCCCCGTCCCTGGGGGGCTGCGATCTGCGAAACAATCGCCACTTTCGAGAGCCGCTGGTGGTTCCAGCGGGGTGAGGCACCGCGCAGACATGAGGGGGGCCTCCCCGTCCCTGGGGTGGGTGCGATCTGTGACACTGTCGCAACTTTCGAGGGCTGCTGGTGGGTCCAGCGGAGTGAGGCACCGCGCGGACCTGAGCGGGACCTCCCCGTCCCCTGGGGGGCTGCGATCTGCGACACTGTCGCCACTTTCAAATGCTGCTGGTGGGCTCGCTACTTTCGAAGGCTGCTGGTGGGTCCAGCGGGGTGAGGCACTGCGCAGTCTCTCAGCGGGACCTCCCCGTCCCTGGGGAGCTGCGATCTGCGACACTGTCGCCACTTTCGAAGGCTGCTGGTGGGCTCGCCACTTTCGAAGGCTGTTGGTGGGTCCAGCGGAGTGAAGCACTGCGCAGACTCTGAGCGGGACCTCCCCGTCCCTGGGGGGCTGCGACCTGCGAAACAATCGCCACTTTCGAGGGCCGCTGGTGGGTCCAACGGAGTGAGGCACCGCGCGGATCTGAGCGGGACCTCCCCGTCCCTGGGGAGCTGCGATCTGCGAAACTGTCGCCACTTTCGAGGGCTGCTGATGGGCTCGC